TTCACCATGTTGACCAGGATGGTCTTGATCTGTTGACCTCGTGATCCACCCACCTCGGCCTCCCAAAGTGCTGGGATTACAGGCTTGAGCCACCGCGCCCGGCCCCAGTTCTGTTTTAAGTTCTTTGAGAAATCGCCAAACTGCTTTTCACAATGATTAAACTAATTTACATTCTCACCAGCAGTGTATGAGCATTTCCTTTTCTCTGCAACTTCACCAGCATCTGTTATTTCTTGACTTTTTAATAATAGCCATTCTGACGGTGTGAGATGGTATCTCATTGTGATTTTGGTTTGCATTTCTCTAATGATTAGAGATGTTGGGCATTTTTTCATATGCTTGTTGGCCTCATGTATGTCTTCTTTTGAAAAGTGTCTGTGCCTGTCCTTTGCCTACTTTTTAATAGGGTTGTTTTTGCTTGTAAATTTTTTTAAGTTCTTTATAGATTCTGGAAATTAGACCTGTGTCAGATGCATAGTTTGCAAATATTTTCTCCCATTCTGTAGACTGTCTGTGTACTGTGTTGATAGTTTCTTTTGCTGTGCACAAGCTGCTCAGTTGAATTAGTCACATTTGTCGATGTTTGCAAAACAAGCTTTAAAGACACAGAATCTTTAAAGATTCTATGGCAGCTCTCCAAAATTAAATAAACAAAATAAAATTTGGGATTAGGTTGAAAAAAAGTTTTGAATTGAAGGAAAAGAGTACTTCTGAAGATGGAGATATTTTTAAACTGTGGGAAATACTTTAAAGGAAGAGAATTAAAACTATGATATTTAACTTTTTTTTTTTTTTGAGAAAGAGTCTCGCTCTGTTGCCCAGGTTGGAGTGCAGTGGCGCTATCTCGGCTCACTGCAACCTTTACCTCCTGCATTCAAGCAATTCTCCTGCCTCAGCCTCCTGAGTAGCTGGGATTACAGGGGTACACCACCACACCCAGCTAATTTTTTTTTTTTTTTTTTTGTATTTTTAATAGAGATGAGGTTTCACCATGTTGGTCAGGCTAGTCTCAAACTCCTGACCTCATGATCCACCCACCTTGGCCTCCCAAAGTGCTGGGATTACAGGCATGAGCCACCGTGCCCTGCCTAACTTCTTTTAATATCTCCGAATCAGCCATTTGGAACCTGTGAGTTGGTCGATGTCTGGAAACATGGCAAACTGAGCTAATGGCTTGTCTTCCCCTGGAAACTCATAGAAATGCTGATATAACTAACAACAAAATACTCCTGACCCCCCAGGTTAATTAACAGACTAAAACTTCTATAAGTTTTCCAATAAAGAAAAGAAAGAGGAAGAGAGGAAGGAACTGGCCCCAGCTGGAAACAGTAAGAGCAGGCAAACAATCATCTGTAGACATTTTTTCACCCTAATGAGGACATGACTAGTAGACATTTTTATGGATATTCCTCCATTTATATCTTAGGTTGGGACTCTTATTTTTCTGAGATCTTAGAGCCTGAGTTAAAATTGGCACTTTGGAAGGCTGAGGCAGGCAGATCACCTGAGGTCAGGAGTTCAAGACCTGCCTGGCCAACATGGTGAAACCCCATCTCTACTATAAAAAAAAAATACAATAATTAGCCAGGCATAGTGGTGCGCACCTGTAATTCCAGGTACTCAGGAGGCTGAGGCAGGAGAATCACTTGATCTCTGCAGTGAGCAGTGATCGAACCAGTGTACTGCAGCCTGGTTGACAGAGCAAGATTCCATCTAAAAATATATAACTATTGTTGCAGTCTATCCCAGTCTTTTCTTAGACCCTCAGGTTCTAGTCTGGAAAATTACATATTTATCTTAACTAACAGTAAACAGAGGCAGAGTTTACTGATGTACCAGAGAATATATCTGCTTGCTGTCAGAGGCTGATTGCTACAAAACAGGTTTTAATAATTTGGTTGACTTCACCCTTGTTTTTATTGGAGCTTATTTGAATTGCTTACATCATGTCATTTGACCTTCATTTATTACAAACATATCACTTACTCAATCTGCCTCTGTTTACTGTTGGCCCATTTCCATGAAATCAGGACAACACTCTAAAGTAGCATGTTGTTTTTATGATGTTAAATGTTTTATAATGTTAAATCAGATTAACCTAAAATCTTATTTCATGAAAATATCATTTACTTGCAAATTACACTGCAAGCTTTTTTGTAAAAACTTAAAATATGAGCACAACAATGGGATATAGGATAATGACTGCCATTTTGACATTAGCATTTGCCAGCCTAAGAGCTATTCGACATGTTTACCAGCACCTGAAACGATCAATCCTATCTCCTTAAGATATCACTGGGCAATTTCTTAAATATAAACATGAAAACTAGCTGAAACACTGAAAATCCCATCATGCTACATTAAAAAGTGATCATTCAAGGATTCAGAATATTCTTGTGTTTATTCTTTATTGATACAAACATTTTTAATGGTCACAAAATTCAGGTACTCCAAAGAATATTCCAAAGGATAACACTGCCTCAGTTTCACAAATACTGGTTCAAACATTAACTCTATTGCTTTACTCATATTGAACTTAAGGCTTTATTCACAAAAAGTTGGTCTACCACTTAAAGATGGGGGGCTTTGCAATCAAAAACGATGAGTTTACGTCCTTTGTAGGGACATGGATGAATCTGGAGAACATCATTCTCAGCAAACTGACACAAGAACAGAAAATGAAATACTGCATATTCTCACTCATAGGCGGGTGATGAAAAATGAGAACACATGGACACAGGGAAGGGAGTACTACACACTGGGGTCTATTGGGGGGAATAGGGGAGGGACAGCGGTGGAGGGGGTGCTGGGGAGGGATAGCATGGGGAGAAATGCCAAATGTGGGGGAAGGGGAGGAAGGCAGCAAAACACACTGCCATGTGTGTACCTATGCAACTGTCTTGCATGTTCTGCACATGTACCCCTAAACCTAAAATGCAATAAAAAAATAAATTTAAAAAAAAGATGGGGGGGCTTTGTGATTTCCAAACTGCACATACACTCTATTTTTACAATAAACTTTGTTATTTCTTAGAAGTAGAGTTGCCATGTGGATGAATAGTTGTGTTGCTCAATTAATACATCTTCTTCCTATTTGAGAAACTAAACTATGGAAAGAAGGTTGCTTGATGAATACAGACCCCTCTGTACATACTAGGCGCTCAGTAAGTGTTAAGGAATTGCTCAATTCAGCCATGATAGCCCCCTTCAACACATGTGTTACTAAAAGAAAACACTGTCAAATCAAGCTTGGTAAATGTCTCATACAATCAGGGATATTCTTTATCTCAATTTCATATTGACCCTGTGCCAACTCTCAAACTTCTGTTTTCCACCTAGTTACACCACCTTCAAAACCAGTTTCACAGATGTTTTTAATGAAACCTCAACTCTTATCCTATGAAAAAAATCAATAGCAAATAACACTAACTCACAGGTACAGATTCTCAGAGGGGAGTCCCTTTTCGACCAAAGTGTCTCCATTTTCATTAACTGTTGACATTCTTCTTGATGATCATCTTTCTGGGATGGGGATTTATAAATCTCCTGTCTACTTACTGCCAATAATATGCTTTTCATTGAAAAATACTAAATCTTTTCTATATTTAACTTATGTGATTGTATACCTCATTATAATTCTTGATTAACCGTATTTTATCTCCACAAGTCATAAAATGTTGAATATATGATTTATATAACAATCATCTTTCTATTGACAGCAGATATATACCATAGTATCTGTTTGTTTTAAAAATTAAGTTTAATAAATACAACTTATTTTTACCATGTCACTCTTTACTACTACTTTCTAGTATTTAATGTGTTTCAAAATGTATAAATACAGCCTCCTATCAAATCACCACTCAAGGTCAAGAATCTACCTTTATATGTTTGTGTAGTACCTTGTATAAAGGAGAACAATAATATATTTTGAATAAATGATTAGATAAATAAATGGGTTTTACCTGAATTGATACCATTAATATTTTTAAATCTATGCCTTTATTTTGAATAATCCAACCAATAGAAGTTCAGTCTCGCTGTAGCCTCTCAGAAGAGACATTATGCAAAAAATATATATTGATATTAGGAAGAGGACCTTCACTGTAAATAAATGGGGCATCTCTTCAGTCATTCCCCTCCATTATCGTCATGTGGGCTTGCTAGTAAGCACCTCTTTTATTGGTTCTTCAAGCTCATTTTCTTTTTAAATTTTCAGAAAGCTTCAGTAGAAATGATTAAACTTTCAAGAAAGACAACTTTAGCAGAATCACATACTTGTTGGGCACATATAGATCTTTGTAAATGTAAGTAAAAGATAACCGAGGCCGGGCGTGGTAGCTCACACCTGTAATCCCGGCACTTTGGGAGGCCAAGGTGGGAAGATGGCTAGAGCCCAAGAGTTTGAGATCAGCCTGAACAACATAGTGATACCCCATCTCTACAAAAAAATTTTTTTTAATTAACTGAGTATAGTGGTGCATGCCTGTAGTCCAAGCTACTTGGGAAGCTGAGATAGGAGGATTATTGAGCCCAGGAGGTCAAGGCTTCAGTGAGCCAAGATTATACCACTATACTCTAGCCTGGGCAACAGAGCAAGACCCTATCTTTAAAAAAAAAATGAGTGTTCTGTAATCCCAGCACTTTGGGAGGCCGAGGCAGGTGGATCACGAGGTCAAGAGATCGAGACCATCCTGGTCAACATGGTGAAACCCCGTCTCTACAAAATACAAAAAATTAGCTGGGCATGGTGGTGCATGCCTGTAATCCCAGCTACTCAGGAGGCTGAGGCAGGAGAATTGCCTGAACCCAGGAGGCGGAGGTTGCCAGGAGCTGAGATCGTGCCATTGCACTCCAGCCTGGGTAACAAGAGTGAAACTCCATCTCCAAAAAATAAAAAAAGAGTGTTTTATTTGACTATTTTTTTTTTGGATGCCTGTTTTACTTGACTGTTATTAATATTAAATGTTATACAGCTTTGCATTTTATTTTTTGTACAGGCAGAAATACTCAGTATCCTCAGTCACAGAAACATCATCCAGTTTTATGGAGTAATTCTTGAACCTCCCAACTATGGCATCGTCACAGGTAGGAACTCATTATTTGACTTCTTCCTTTCCAGTTACCTAGCTTTAGATTCCTTAATATGCTAAAATGCTTAATATTAGGTTCAGTCATGAATTGTGTGTTACTGTCAGATGTCACTTTTGTTGCTATAAAGCATTAATAAAACTGATTATATCAATATAATTAAGAATAGTGTTTCCACTTCTACCCATGTTTAATTGTGCTAATTATATCTGCGTAAATGCTATTTAAATGCACTCCCAGCTGCAATACCAATATTTAAAGGTGCCGTTTAACTAAAATTTCATTTAATTAGTTGAAATGAGAGATGCTTTTTGAAACTCTGTGACCTTTTATAAATTAAGATTTCTTGAGCTATTCATGTTGTAATTCTTTGCAAGGCATTTTAATCCCATTAGAGCATTCTTTCTTCAAGGTCTCTGACGTGAGAACAATATTTTTCAGGTTTGGTCAACTAAGTTGGTAATGACCTTGATCTAAATTATCACATAATTTGGAGCAGTAGTTTATAAGTGACAGAAATACCCTTTCTAAAAAGGAGCACATAGAAACTTTTGCCACGTGAAAACACAGAAAGACACGTATCTTTAATACTTTATGCTCATATTTGTATAATCCACTGAATAGCTTTAGGTCTATAATAAGTATAATGTTCAGGTTTACAAAAAATAACTTTGATCTGTATCTTGGCAATTCTTTGATTAAAACAAAGTCTGCCAGGCGAGGTGGGTGGCTATAATTCCAGCACTTTGAGAGGCCGATGTGGGTGGATCATGAGGTGAGGAGTTCAAGACAAGCCTGGCCAAGATGGTGAAACCCCTTCTCTTCTACAACTGCAAAGGATAGCCAGGTGCAGTGGCAGGTGCCTGTAATCCTAGCTACTTGGGAGGCTGAGGCAGAAGAATTGCTTGAACCTAGGTGGCAGAGGTTGCAGTGGGCCAAGATCTTGCCACTGCACTCCAGCCTGGGCAACAGAGTGAGACTCCATCTCAAAACAAACAAACAAACAAAAAGTCAAACAAGAAAATCTTAAAATATTAGTCATATCTTCTGCCACTGTAGAGGTGAGAACCTAGATGTCTTTATAGAAAAGAGCAACAAAACACTCAATAAAAAGGATTGTATTAAGTACTTTTTATAAATTATCTCATCTAATTCTTACAGTAACCCTATGAGACAGGTAAAATAATTTCTGTTTTACTAGTAGAAAACTAAATCTCTGCAATTTTCCCATGGTCACCTAGCTAGTGATAGAATCAAAGTGGTGTAAATTTCTCAAGTTGATTTCCCACAGAAGCTCCTCTTCTATGCAAGCTAGGTTCTTAAATTTAGAGAGACATGATTGCTGTTATTCCATCTTCTGGCAGCAGGTAGTTTAACATGCTTTTAGTCTTAGTAGTGTTTTAACCTAAATTCTTAAGCAGAAGGACTTTTAGCCACAATTTACTCTCTTTAGATCTGTGACTGAAATGGGGCATGTAGTAATTTTTATCGTGAGTCTGTATTGCCTATAAACATGAATACCCATGAATGGGCTATATTGTTGGGGGAGGAAGTAACCATACCTCACATTTTAAGTCAGATTTCTGATTTAAAGTTAAACCTTTCTCTGACCCATATACCGTGTGGCTCCTTTTTTCTGTGTCCATTGTATTTACTTTTTTAAATAGTTACATTCACTTTATAAATCTCAATCCAGTTTGCTGATTCTCATTTGTGTTATTCCTTCCTAAGAAAGTGTGATACTCCAAAGAGATTAGAAACTCTGTTTCTTATTATATACCCTTGATGTTTAATGCTTTTTGAAAAGATTTTTGGCCAACTAATGAGCTATTTATGAAGTTTTCTAGTTTCTTGAGGTGAGGGGGAAGGGTAGAAAAGGGGACTTGAGTGGTGATATGAAATTCTTCCAAGAGTTTACTCTCAGTAGGAAGATATGAAACATGCTTAGCCAGCATATTTCCCCTAGGTCACCTCATCTGAAAGAGGGAGAAAGAATCCACATAGTTTGCTTTCATTATCAGACTAGCCCATCCTTTATTTCATGCATCCCTTTAGCATTTTCTACTCATACTTACACCTAACCAAATTCTTTAAATTGTTTAGATTTTTATGGATCTATATCTTTCCCTGTAGAACCAGTAAGTAAGCAACTGTTAACCTTAAACAATTCTTTAAAACAACACAAGTTTCAGATTATGAGGTAGTAGTTGATTGTATATTTATAGCTCTTATCGACCTATAAGATTGACTGTTAAAGAGACCTGGTAGCTGAGTTTTGGTGGTTTGAATGTATTGATTTGATGTGATTATCTTTGTTCCTAGAGATGTTAGTTTTAATTGATTAAGTGCTTGTTTATGTGAGCCTTTCAACGTACCTCCTACAGCTATGCTCTGTGCTTGGGTAGTAGAAAATATGACAACTGAGCCCAGTTTGGGACTGAAGAGATCACATGGATTAGTAATGATGACACTTATTCTACCACTGGAAATTAGCACAAATAAGTCTTAGTGTGAGGTAGTTAAGAGAGAAACAAAGATAGGAAAACTGACCTTGATCACCCAGCCCTAGCTAGATACCCCTCTGTGAACCTCATCATCATCAAATGGTGGAGGCTCCGAAGGAGGAAGCTTGAATGGCTTGAATACCTTCCATCTGAGGTAGTTTTTTTGTTTTTTAATAGAAAAGGCTGTTGCAGCAGGCAACTGTTGTCATTCATGCTGAGGGCTTGAAAGAATGATTTATCAGAGTGGTGGAATGGAATGGGAATTGTGAGAGTTGAGATCTTCTCTTGATTCTGCCAGAACTGTATAGATGGGGCACTAATGATCTCTCTCTGTCTGTTTTCTCATGTGAATTAAGGGACTAGAATAGATGATCTCTGGGTGAGAGTGTGTATGTATGTGTATACTTGTGCATGTGTGTTTGCTGAAACTTTTTATCACAGACATATAAATTCTGCTTATCAGAAGATCTGGGCTAAGAGGCAGCTACCAATTTATTTCCCTTGAAAGGGAAGTGAACATCTTTTCCCCAGATCTACAAATAAATGGGGTGACAAGAAACTCAGACTCCAAAGCCAGAAGAAAAGATACCATAATGGATATTTGATCTTTGGAAACGTCTTCATTCTGTACTACTCCCATTCTTTTATTTATTTGTATGTATGTATGTGCATGCATGCATGTATGTGTGTGTATATACACACACAAGAAATATATATACAAAGAAATATATGTGTGTGTATATATACAATACAGGTATATGTGTTTGTGTGTGTGTGTATATATATATATATATACATACATATATGTGTGTGTGTATATATATACATACATATATGTGTGTATATATATGTATATACATATATATATATATACACACACATAGACAAAATATTTTGTGTACAAAGTGAATTGAGTGAACTGGGGATAAAAGTCCCTCTGCTTAAGAACTTAGGATAAATGCTACTAAGAGTGAAAGCATGTTAAACTACCTGCCACCAGAAGATGGAATAACAGCAACAAGTCTCTGAATTTAAGAGCCAGTCAGCTCACAACCTTCCAGATTCTGTGGAAAATCAACTTGAGAAATTTATACCACTTGGTTCTACCACTATATATGAAATCTATATCTATACATATATATATATATATATATATAGAGAGAGAGAGAGAGAGAGAGAGCAGTAATGTATTTCTTTATACATATATATGTAAAACATAAATACTTGAGGGCAGGGGGAGCTCCTGGAAGATGAAGGAAGTTGTTAGATAGGAGACCATATACCACTTTTGTAGCAAGCCAGATTGGAGAGGAGATCTGGTAATCTAAGAGTAAAGAAAGGGTGGCAGACTGGGTCCCAGGTTTCCAGAGGGAAGTGATTTAGGATCTCAGATGCCTACGAAATTGCGTCTTTGTGCTCAGGAGCTGGTATCACCTCTTAAGTGACCTGTTCTGCATTAGTTCTTATTACTCCTCTAAGAGAGGAGACTAGTTCTGCATGATTTCTCAGCAGGCCCAAATTCTCATTAAACCCAGCCAAGGAAAACATACTAATTTTTAAGTGCCCAATCTCATTTCCCTTAACTTGATCGTGATTTATTTTAAGCACAGATACATCTAATTTGCATGTTTTGATATTGTGCTGGTCTTTTCTTATTAGTCAATTAGAGAGAAGTGTCACATTTTGTTATAACACATTTTCAGACATTTCTGTATATTCTATGAGTTATAATCTAAGCTTGGTCTTGGTGACATTTTATTACAAAGAGGTTTCGTGGTAATGGTATTTATTTCAATAATACTGATTGGATGTTTACATTTTTCAAAGCCAGCTATTGTCACCATAAAACTCAAAGGGAAAAGTCATCTTATAAAAATCAAAAGGGAATGTTTGCTTAATGTGGTTCTTAATGACTTTTTAAAAAATGAAACAAATACTTTATACTAAAATCCAGTAAACTACTTTCTATGGAGCAGTGGTTTGAAAAACATGTAATCATATGTGTATATGGTAAGTCCACCATTTCCAATGAGAAAACCAAAAGGATGAAAGAATTAAATGCTTATTTAAAACAGTTAATATGTTAGTGTAGCCATCCACATACCTAAAGATGACATTTTATATGAAATGTAATAATATTGCCTTTGTTGCAACTTCAAAGTCATGAAACTTTTATTTAATCATGCATCTTTATTATTATTATACTTTAAGTTCCGGGATACATGTGCAGAATGTACAGGTTAAATAGGTATACATGTGCCATGCTGGTTTGCTGCACCCATCAACCTGTCATCTACATTAGGTATTTCTCCTAATGCTATCCCTCCCTTAGCCCCCCTCTCCATGACAGGCCCCAGTGTGTGATGTGCCCCTCCCTGTCCGTGTGTTCTCATTGTTCAATTCCTACTTATGAGTGAGAACATGTGGCATTTGATTTTCTGTTCCTGTGTTAGTTTACTGAGAATGATGGTTTCCACTTTCATCCATGTCTCT